AGTTCATAACTTCAGAAGTCAATATCTCTTAAACGAAGCGTTTGCAAGCATACTTCCAAGGGGGAATGGTTTCCAGAGGAAAATTTTTTCTTGTTTTAAGGTCCTAAACTCATATTTCAAGTTTGGTCATTTAACCCGGGAACACCCTGTATATTGCATATTTTTTTGATGCTTTATAACTGCGCATAAGTTTGAACAAACAATGCATCTCGCATGAATATTCGCAAAATATTACTTTAACTCGCACGTTCTTATTTTGTGATTGCGTAACCGCTAATCTTTGACACAATGTGTATAAAGCGATTTTAATTGAATGTATAATTGATTTTTGCCACCTATTTTTTCCGGAAGTGAAGATGTTATATATTGAGTAGTTATCACACAGTTCATATCTGATTTAACAGATAGTGTGGCATGTTTTGCTCTATGGTATAAGTCATCATATTAGCCAGTTTTATAAAGTTCTTTTTTAATAGAGTTACTGTCAGTTAAAAAAAAATTATTTGAAAATTGAATGTGGTAGGTATAAATTTTTCTTGTTTTTTTCACATATATTTTTTTTTTAAATTTTTGAGTAAGTTATTTCAAAAATTATTTCTGTATGTAACTGAATCATGTGCACAATATACAGGGTGTCCCCAATTTAAATGTCAAAACTTTAGGAGCGTGTAGGGGACCGATAAACTAAGACAAAAAGTCCTTTATAGATTTTTCTTTGTTTTGAAGAAAATCGCAAAAGATGAAACAAATAATGTTCACCAAGAAACTTAAAACAACACTAAAATTATTAGATTTATCAAAAAGTATTATAAAATAAAAATTGTAGAACATGGAATTAAGAAAAGAGAGTGAGTTAAAATCCTCCTGAGGTAAAATTAGATCAGAAATAAAATTTCGCGTTGTCGCGTATTTATCTACAATTCTCTAATTTTACCTCAGGAGGATTTTAACTCACTCTCTTTTCTTAATTCCATGTTCTACAATTTTTATTTTATAATACTTTTTGATAAATCTAATAATTTTAGTATTGTTTTAAGTTTTTTGGTGAAAATTATTCGTTTCATTTTTTGCGATTTTCTTCAAAACAAAGCAAAAACGAGCAAATCTCTAAAGGACATTTTGTCTTAGTTTATCGGTCCCCTACACGCTCCTAAAGTTTTGACATTTAAATTGGGGACACCCTGTATAGTGCGCATTTTGAACAAACGTGAAATAAAGTTTATAGTTTTATTGGTCTCCTTCTTGCTCTAAATATTCTAAACATCTGTGCTACGTTTTTATTCTGCTAATTTTTTTTTATTTAAATCTGTTTTTCGATATCTTGAAACTCAAAATTCGGATATCATAATAATGATACATTTATATAGTCATAATTTATTTTAGAGAGAGAACTTTTTCTTTATCGGCAAATTCCTAAATAATGATGTTGAAATTTTGGATAATTAAACCAATCTTGCTATACTACGATTAGGAGATTGATCAGAAAAACTTAAAAAACTTTTATTTTATACATACTTACTTGGAAAACTATAAAAAATTTAAAATTGTACGACTATTCTCTGTTTCTATTTTATGTTAAATTTTCCGTTGTTTCAAAAATAGTTTCTAAAATATCATTTTCTGTCATTCTAAATGCATATATGTATATATAAAATTGAAATAAAGTTCTGGTAATTCAAGTATCTCTTTTCAGAATTACTTGAATTTGTGGAAGATGGAAAATAATAAACGGTTCAATCCATATGTCAGCGTTGATGCTGAAGAAGAAATAGTTATCTCTGGCATTGCCGGACGATTTCCTAATTGTAAAAATATAAAAGAATTTCAGGACAATCTTTTCAATAAAATGGATCTTGGTTCGAGCGATCATCAACGCTGGACCAACTGTAATAAAATTTTTTCTCGAAACTATCTGGGGGAAAATGTTCACATATAATCACTTATATAAATAAATAAAATTACATATATAAAATATATCTTTACAAATATTTTAGTATAATTTATTATCCATGACTTAACAGTATGACAATATTATATTTATCAAAATTATTTTTAATTTTAACAGATATCTTCGAGATGCCTCCTCGAATAGGAAAAATCAATAATATAGAAAAATTTGACGCAGAATTCTTTAACATATCGGTCAAAGAAGCTCATATGATTGATCCTGGATATAGAATATTACTTGAGCATACCTATGAAGCAATTGTTGATGCAGGTATAAATCCCGCAGAATTACAAGGAACAAACACAAGCGTTATTACAGCAACAAGTGTTTGTGATACATATATGGATTTAGTATACGAAAAATCTCACGTATGTGGTTCACATTGGTTATTCAATGAATTAATATCAGATAAAACAAATGCGCTCTTAAAAGTGAATAAATATATTAATATGTATACAAAGATATTGTTAAATATGGGGAAAATATTTATATACATATGTATGAAAATTATATTATGATTGCTAATAGATTGCTGGATTACCCATTCTTGGATGCAGTAAAGGCATGATAGCAAGCAGAATTTCTTATTGGCTCGGCGTTACTGGACCATCGTATAACATTGATACTGCATGTAGCTCGAGTCATTTCGCTATGACGGAAGCTTATAAAATGATTCGATCTGGTATTTGTGAAGCGGCTATTGTCGCTAGTGTCAATTTGTGCATTCATCCGCTTGTAACTTACCAGTTTTTTCGTTTAGGTATGTGAAAAATAATATTATTATGTTTGGAGTTGTGTTGCGTTGTTAAATGGAATAAATATTTATGGATACATTTATTAAAATAATATTTAATAATATTGTTTGTTAATTCATGTTTTGTTAAATGTAGCAATTTTTGTTTTTGGACGATACAATTAATTCGCTTATATATGTATATTCACATTGAATTTTTTAAGTACTTGGTATATTATTAGAGAAACTGGAAACAAAATTATATCTTCTATATAGATTGTAACAATGAACTATGAACATGAACTATTGATATTGTTTTAGGAGTTTTATCTAATGATGGCTATTGTAAACCTTACGATGAAGAAGGCTCTGGTTACATGCGTAGTGATGCAGCTGTAGTAGTGTACCTACAAAAAGCAAAGGATGCAAGAAGAATCTATGCAACCTTTGTCTATAGTAAAACCAACTGCGATGGCTTTAAAAGAGAAGGAATTACCTTTCCATCAGTTGACAAGCAAAAAATGTTACTGGAAGAATTTTACGAAGAATGTGATATTTCGCCTCTTGAATTATCTTACGTGGAGGGTCATGCAACTGGTACTCTAGCCGGTGATCCTGTAGAACTTCAAGCCATCGATGAAGCTATATGCGCTAAAAGACAGCTTCCTCTATTAATGGGTTCAGTGAAGTCAAATATTGGACATTCAGAGCCGGTTAGCGGTCATTGTCAAATTGCAAAGGTGAATTTACAATAAAATAGGATTAATAATAACAGTAATAGGTTTAGAGTACACACAATAAAGTGGGAATACTGACATATAAAAGCCAAGGCGCGGGTATTGGTGCGCGAACTTATTATTGTTAAGTTTTATTAACAAATGTGCATTAAAAATGTAGTCGGACCGTTTTTTGGTCCATCTTCAGCATAGATATAAATATGTAGAAATTAAATTGGAATTTTATAACCTGACATGCATCACATTTGTTGTTGCAGTTAAATTCCAAATTAAAATTAATAATCAGAATGGAAGGCTCACTAAAACCCGCGTAGAATCTGTACAAATTAATGAACAACGTCCAAACGTCATCGTTATACGTATATCATTGATTGTTTACAATATAATTGCGACCAATGTTAGTACGGTTGGTACGATCACAAAAACAACGGTCATAAAGATGGTCATAAACCAAAGTCAAAAAGCAGAAAAGATGTAAGAGAAAGGCTAATGCGGCAAATTTACTTAATCTTTAAATTCAATTCAAACTTTGAAATCAAAATCCAAATTCGTTTCTCAATAAATCAATCCTTGAATTTTTGGCAAGTTTTCCATTATAGAGGAAATACGTACAGATCACAAAAACAAGTCCTAAAACGAAGTAAAAGCAAAAACGACGAAAAAATGGCAAATGCGACAATAATTAATTTTAATTAATTTTTTAATTCTATCTAAATTTTTAGATCTTAATTTAAATTTTCAAATCCATCAACTTTTTATATTTTGACAAAATAGGGTTAATACAATTACATAATCTAATGCCACATGTAAACTTAAGCAAGTTTTTTTTTTATTTCAATGTTATTTTTGGATAAAGGTTTTAATAGCGATGGAAACTGGTATAATGGCTCCTACTATACATTTTAAACATCCACGAAAGAATATGACTGCTATCATTGAAGGAAGAATAAATATAGTCACTGAACCGACAGAATGTAAGGGTGGTTATATCGGTATTAATTCCTTCGGATTTGGCGGTGCTAATTGCCACATATTACTGAAATCAAATCCAACAATTAAAGTCAATAATGGAGGAGACGATAATTTACCTAGACTCGTAGCCTTATCTGGATGTACGGAGGAAGCAGTTAAAATTATATTAGAAGACGTAAGTACACGTTACAATTTATTTCACAAATAATCTAATCTTTCTTATACTTACCTTGTATGTTATTATTGCCATTTTAAATTATTTACAAAATTAAACTTTTTGTTAACAAAAAACAATAAGAAAATATTTTCACGTGTATTGCACGCACAAAAACACAAATACATAAAACAAATTTATGATAATATATTAAATGCATAAAATATATATATATGATAATATATCATAATAAAAAAAAAGTAAGAGAAGAATTACACGATATAGCACTTATATGTAGTACTTTAAAATAGCAATAATTTAGTATTATAAAAAATATGCAAATACTAAATAATGAACGTAAGGAATAAAAAATGTATTATTATAAAATGAAAGGCAGAAAAGATTAAAGATAGTGTTTAAATTTATATAAAGAATTTAAAAAAAGTTATTGTTATAACTAAAATTACAATTAATTGAAGTATATTAATTATTTAAAATTATTAATTCTAATAATGGGATCTAAATGTAAAAGTTGAAGATAAATTCAAGTTTATTTTAAACCGGTATAAGCGGTGAAAAGAGCGGAGTATTATTAACAGAGCTAAGGTATATTACATCTATTGAAACAAACGCATTAATAGTTAATGTAGCCATTATTGAGTTTAAAAATAGAGTATTAATTGTGTGCAAATTTCAAAGATTTATAATTAAAAATAAGATATTTATATATGTATATACATATGTATTACGATTATAATATACACTGCTCAAAAAAATTATGGCATAAAAAATATTTGCCGAAAATTGGCCAACTTTGACTGCCGATCACTTCGCGAAAAATTATCGTAGACGAATGATTTTTTTTTAAACTGAAGCTTGACGTCTCTACTTTAAGAATGTACCTCCATTTTTTGCATGCGATCCATCCCTACCTCTGTAACCCCTGAAATCTGAGGGCATGTTTGGCATACTGAAAATTGCAAAGTTTGACGGAATGCACGGAATGCATGGAAAAATTTTTTTCAGGGACATTGTTTGCATCGTCATAAAGTTTAAATCTTCCACTTCAATTTAAAAAAAAAAAGTGAAGTCGCTACGATTTTTTTTTCGCAAAGTTGCAGCCCTTCAAAATTACTGTTGTTTTTGGCCTTTGAGCCAAGTACCGGCCGGTGGGTTTAATGACTAATCAAAACACGAGCCAGGAGCTGAAAAACGTGCGTGCACGCGCGCGTGTGTGTCCACAAACACTATTGCCATGGCTCTACTATGGCTTCCAGTACAATTAGCTTTTTGTCTCGTAAAATGAACGCACTAGCGTGCGTGCCATATGTTCCGCTTAATTATAAACAAACTGCAGCAAATTATAAATAAACGGCAGAGTTTTTGCCGTTGATTTTATAATTAGAACTTTTTGTTTTTATTTGGACATATGCAGGAGCAATCGAAATAGGAAGTATCTATAAATAAGCTCCATGTATAAATGGAATATACATATAGCTTTATTATTATATGAACAAACTATAATATATATACATATATCCTTCAGTAAAACATTGTAGCCGCGTGCATATGTATGTGTGTATGTTGATATATCATTCTCGCGCATAAAAGTAAACTGAAATGGAATTTGAATAGCTTTTCATTGTAACAAAATTTATTCAATTTTTTATATTTTATATTCATACACTTTATTATCATTTTTCAGCTACGCCGTTCGGCCAAGTACCTATGCTCGAAGTAGATGGAAAGAAAATTGTCCAGTCTACAGCTATCTTCCGCTACTTGACAAAACAATACGGTCTTGTCGGCAAGAACGATTGGGAATCTCTAGAAATTGATTCTACCGTCGATACTATACATGATTTACGCGCCAGTGAGACACAATATATTATTTATATCCTCAATCTCTTCTCTTGTTTGTTATTAAGAAAATTTGAAATGATTTGAACCACAATTTTCGTGAGCTCAATTATCGATACTGTGGATATATATCGGTTAGGTTTACAGCATCGCAAATTTAATTCAACGAAATTGATCGTTTCAAACGCTTTGATTAAAATTGTTTATAACTATTATTAATTCTTATTTTTGTCATAGATATTACGGCTTATCATTATAAAGACAATGAAATAGCTAAAGAAGAGAAACTCAAAAATGCCAAAGAGAAGGTGCCGTACTACCTGGAACGTCTGGATGCTCAGGTGCAAAAAAACGGTGGTTACTTTGTTGGAGGAGTAACGAGTTATCTCTATTAATAATACACAAAATAGATACAACGCGGTTCACATAATTATATATTGCATGTTGCAGATAATATAGGTATATAGAGAACCACATCCTTTAATGTGATAAATTGAAAGAACGAGACCGCGTTGACATTCAAACGCTATACATCTTTGTGAAAAATATTAGGCAAGTAAATTGCATTGCAAAGTTTTACATTTA